CTCACTCACATTTTTCCAAGCTAAAGAATCCCAAATTCTGTTCTGGTAGGGAAGATGTTTGAGCCTTCTGGTCATTTTGATTGCCCTTTTCTGCTTTTCCCAGGTCTGTTATATCCTTTTCCAAATGCAGCAACCAGAATTGTACACCATATTCCAGATCTGAATGCTCCATAGCTTCATATAGAGACATATCAGACAAAGGTGACATTTTTATTCTGCTCCTTGTGTTATTTGCCAGGTGACTCCAATTCCTTTAAATGATTATCCCATGCCTAAAATTGATTGCCTTGTCCATATTAATGGATATAACCATTCACTTCATAGCCACTTAAATCCTAAAATCCTGCAACCTGATCCAAAGACTAGCTGTCCTGGGATTCTCCATTATTAAGATGCAATCACCAAACACCAGCAGTTGTCTGCAGCAGTTAAGCTACAACTTTTTATCTTATTTCTTGCCATTTTACCATCTCCTACCTGTAGCAACCAGCAAGTGTTATGAATTGAGAGGATCTGCACTTGTATATGTATTGCATGTGAGTCAATCTCCCTCCCATTACATTAAGAAAACTTTGGAATAATATTAATTAAATGCTGTCTGATGAAATTTCAGATTCATATCTCATGAAATCAGAATGATGTTATTTTCACTCCCTTTCCTAGCGATCCCTAGTAGGTATGTACAAAATTCATCAATCCAGGAACAAAACACTCTAGAGAACTTCAGAACATTATTCTCTAGACCTTGCCATTCCAGGGCAGTTTGACATATCTAGAAGTAAATCTTCTGAACTAGAAGCTCACTGGAGGTTTTTAAAATGAGGGTGGAAAGCCATTTTTCAGGGTTAGTTTGACTGGTTTTCCTGCACACTGCAGAGGATTGAATTAAATGATCCTTGTAGTCCCTTCCAACTCTACAATTCTATGACTCAATGGTTCAAGATGTTCTGGACATGGTGTTCCAGATGAAACAGGATTGTTTGGGAGGAATCAGAACATTTCAAACTTCACTTTGACTTGGATTCCAACAGGCCCTATGGAGGTGACTGAAACACAGTCTTACGAAGTTATCTGGGAAGTTTGGGCCTGTTAGTCCCAAGAAAGTAGACAGCGTCCTTGGAGCTGTAGGTATGGCCACCTGTATATTAGAACCATGCCCCTCCTGGTTGATCAAGGCCTCCAGGGAGGGAGCATGTTAGTGAATCCATGCAGTGAATCCATGCATGTAAATGCCTCTTTGAGAGAGGAGTGATTATGCTGGCTTTGAAAGAGGTGGAGATGCACCCTCTTCTCAAGAGGCCATCCTTGGATCCAGCTGATCTGACCAATTTTCATCCAGGCTCCAACCTTCCTTTTCTAGGGAAGGTTGTTGAGAAGGTGGTTGGTATCCAGCTTCAGAGGCCCTTGAGGAGGCAGATTATTTAGACCCTTTTCAGTTGGGATTCACTGAGACGGTTTTAGTCATGCTCATAAGATGACCTGTGGTGAGCCTGAGATGGGCGTGGTATGTCCACCCTAGCTCTCCTTGATCTCTCAATGGCCTTCAGTACCATCAACCAGTTGAGAGAGATATGAGTTAGATTTTGTGATGGTTCTCCTCCTTCCTCTGAGGCTGGTTCAAGTTGATGTTTTTGGGAGGGGAATGGTTGAGCCCTAGACTGCTGCTTTGTGGGGTGCCTTAGGGCTCTCCTCTCCCCCCCCTCCTTTTCAATGTCTACATGAAGCTGCTGGATGAGATCATCTGTCAGTACAGGGTGAATTGTCATCAATATGCAGATGATACCCAGTTATGCATCTCTGTCCATGGCCATCCAAGTGAAGCTGTTGAGGTTCTGGTCTAATGAAGGTCTGGATGGGGAGGTCTGGATGGGGAAGAACACATTGCAGCTCAACCCTGCCAAGACTAAGTGGGGCCCCCGGGTTTGGGAATTAGAATGTTTCCATCTTTGGTTCTGGATGGGGTGGCACTGTCCCATTCAGACTTCGTGCACAATCTGGCACTTCTCCTGGACTCACAGCTCTTGCTCAGAGCAGATGGCATCTGTAACCAGGAAAGCCTTTGCACCACTGCATCTTGTGCACCAATTGCATCCATTCTGAGAGGCCCTGATCATGGTCACTCACACTTTAGTCAGTTCCCAATTGGACTACTCCCATGTGCTCTACATGGGGCTGTCCCTGAAGACCATCCAACTTCATTTCATCCAGAATAGGGCAGCACAGGTTGTTATGGGCACAGCTTGTTATGCCCATGTAACACCACTACACCTTGAGTTGTACTGGTTCCTAATAGACTTCTGGGTGTGATTCAAAGTGCTGGCTATCACCTTTAAAGCCCTACACAGCATAGGACTGGGTTACTTGCAGTGAGTTTCCCTCACTGAAACTTTGCTACCTTATGGGACCGAGGAAGTGTACTTTTTCAGAGGCTTCAGCTGTGCTCTGAAACAATCTCCCCCCAATATGCAACAGGCCCCAACTCTGCTCACCTTTAGGAAAGCCATTAAGACCTGGCTTTTCCCCCAGGCATTTGGGTCGAGCTGAGTGGAGTCCCCTTTTGGTTGTTTTTATTATTATGTTTGGCCGCCATTTTATATTTTATATTTATATATTGTAAATGTTTTAATGTTGGGTGGTTCTTTTGCTTTATTCTTTTCTGTTGTATACCACAAGTCACACTGTTTGAGTTGGGCAGCCCTATAAATCCAGTAAATAAAATAAATTTACTTCTAGAAACTACAAAACTGCCCCTGGAACAGCATAGTCCAGAAGGAGGTTTGCCATGTGGTTCAGATGGAAATGTAATATTCTGTTCCCATATTGACAATTTTTGCAGATACCTAATCCTTAGGTTGGAATTTACAGCTGCTACACGCTGAATCAATATCATCAACCTATCTACTAGGATCCTAAGATCATTAAAGACAGCTCAAACCCCATCAGTGCATACATGGTTAGTTTTGTTTGCCCCAGGGTACATAAATTTATGCTTCCTTAAATTGAATTAGATTTGCATATGGTTGATTGTTCACCCAGTTTAAAGAGATTCTTCTGGAACATTTCACAGTCACTTCTAGTTTTTGCCACAAAGAACAGTATGATCTGCAAACTTGGTCAGCATACTAAGTCAAGATCATTTATGAACAAATCAAAAAGTGCTGGTCCCAGCAGTGATCCTCAAGGGACTCTACTATGTACCTCGCTCCACTGAGAAAACTGGCATTTTATTCCTACTCTTTGCTGTTTTTAACCAGTTAGCAACCCATAAAAGGACAGATGCTCTGACTCCGTGACTACCGAGGTCATTTCCCCACTAGCAGCTTAAACCATCTTCTAGAGTCATCCAACCATTGATGTGCCAAAGTAATGAGGACAGGCTTATAACACTTTAATGACTCAAAGAACTTTTGATGAGGAACTTTGTTAAAGTTTTTTTTTTCTTTTTTTTAAATTCAAATTATGATGTTGACGGGATCACTTGCATCCACATACCCGTTGACATCTTCCCTTGGATCCTTTTTTAAAAACTGGTGTCAGTTCTTCTTGTCCTCTGGCACTGAAACAAATTTAGTGACAACTTTCATATTTTGCCCAAGTATTTCACATTTGAGTTCTTTAAGAATTCGTGGGTAGATGCCACCAGGACCTGAAGATTGCCTAGTCTCTCAAGTTTTCCTTTGGGTGTTAGCTCCATTTGCTATAATTAATTAATTAATTAATTCCCCATTTTTGTTTCTAGAACTATTCAATGGGGTTTACAGTAATTAAATACAAGGCCACAGAAGAATGAACTTCACTGAGGATGATCTAGAGGGTCTCTGAAACAATATTCCTACCTCAACACGCTTTTAAATCTCTTTGAGGGAATCATATGTTGCAACTCGAAAAGCAGTGCCTCTACAAGATGCTCATCTCAGACTTCTCCTACTGTTCCTCCTTACTGTTCTGTGGTTTTTACTAAATCCTCCTGAAATAATTCTACTCCTCCTGGTCCTCTTCCTCCGCATTCTTCTTTTTGCTTTCCTGATCACTTTATACTTTTTCTGCCAACGTTTGTGTTCCTATTTGTTCTCATTAAGACAAGCTTTCCATTTCCTGAAAGAAAACTCTTATCTTTTACAGTTTCCTGGACGCTACTAGCTGTGCTGGCCTCTTCCTGGATTTGGTTGACCCTTTCTTCCACTGTAGAATAAATGTTAAACAACCACCTGGTACTATGAATAGATTTAGCCCTTTGTACATTTCCTTTCGGTCTCTTATTGATCTTTATCTTTGCATACAAGGTACCTGTTCATACAGCATCTTTCCTAGCCATCACAACATACTAAACTAGGCCAAAATAGGATTGCTAAATTCAGCATGTTGTGGGAGCCCAGCTGTTGCATTACCATCTTGTGTGAACCAGGCAGTTATTAAATCATAACTTCATTTATTTTTTGCACAGCAAGTTAAGTGAGCGCAACTGTTCTGCGCACCTAGATTTTGGGTTAAAGTGCTGGGTGAGCCAGACAGTACCGACTATGGGGTTTAATGACTAAACCATTTTCTGGGTTCACACAATACACTGAACATAAATTAACCAAACGAGTTTGATTCATCCAACCCAGTACACCACAAAAGACTAATCAAGGTTGACGCTAGCACGTTGTGTGAATGCAGGAGCGATGTCTTTATCTGACCTGGCCAAACACATTGGGTGACGCAGCCCAGAAGACAACTCGCGAACGCTTGATTCCTCGGCGGCGCCTCAGAAAGGAGCGAGGCGGCCACTCCTCCCGCAGCCTCCAGCTCGTCCCCTGCCTCAAACACGGCCGGTCTCCCCCCTCTCCAGCTCCTCCTCCGAAGGGGCGGTCTGCGCGGGCAGGGGAATAGCCGGGCAGCCCCGCTTGCTCGGCCATAGTCCTGCCCAGCCCCATCAGCCCCTGGAGACCTTCCTTTTGCACCCTCCCACCTGCTCCTTCCGCCCAGTCCAGCCGCCTATAAAAAGGGAGGTCGGCCGGCGCTGGCAAAAGGAGACGGTGAAGGGAGCGACGGAGCGCGGTCTGCGGCAGCTGAAGCTGAAGCTGAAGGCGGGCATCGCGCTCTAAAGGGCTCGGGTTAGACCGGCCGGATCGCGTCCGTTTGGACGAGGAGGTGCGCGTTTTTCTGGGCGAGCGGCGGGACCCATTTGCGGGGCCGCCATGGAGGTGAGCGCGCCACGGTCGTCGTCGAGCGACATCGCGGACCTGAACAGCCAGGACGCACAGACGGTGTGCGAAGCGCTGGGCCGCTACGAAGAAACGCTTCGCGGCGCCGTTAAGGAGATCCATGTGGATATCCAGGTCTTTAAGAACGGCGTGGACCGACAGGTGGCCGAAGTGCTGCGCCTGGCCAACCCGCTGGCCAGCACCGTAGCCGAGCTCCAGCAAGAGAACCAGCAGTTGCGGACGCAGGTCGAGCACATAGCCCAGCAGGTGGAGATCCTCAGCCGGGCAGCCGGGCTCTCAGACGTCTTGGTCCCCAAGCCCGTATCCCCGACGGCGTCAGCGGCATCTCCGAGGCTGGGAAGCGGAAGCAGCAGCAGCAGCAGCAGCCGATTTGCTAGCCACGCTAGACTGTCCTTTTCCAGCAAGAGTCAGGTAAACGTGTGGCAGGAGAGGAGCAGCGCCGTTTGTGAGACAGCTGCATGCAAATATAACTTAATCGTTGAACTCCCACCCGCGTGGAAGGGATCCCTGGCGCGCTATTGAGCCAGTCGGTTGCCCTCGGCCCTTGTACCCCGAGCTTGGTCTGATCTGTGGCTTTTCTCTCCCATCCCCCGACCTCCAGCGCCCCCTTCGCTCTTTTTCCTTCCCTGTTTAACTGGGATTCCTCTCCCTCGATGCGATTTGGTTTCTGGTTGCGGCTCCACCCAGAAGGTCGCAGATAGGAAGAGGTGGCTGTCGTACGCTCCGTCGGGGAACCTCCCGCGCTGCGCGAAGATGCCACGGTCCCCTCGAACCTGGATTTGCCAGTATTAACCGAACCTCCAGGGCGGAGCAGTGGAAGTGGTTGGAGCGACCACTAGACTACGCCTTTCGGCTTCGGGATTTTTCTCTTGGGAACCCTTTTCGGTTCCATGCTGAGACGAGTATGTGTGTGTGGAACCTGCGGGTCTTTTGCTGCGGACAGGGTTTGCGGACAACTCTTTTTGGCCCCCTCCCCGGCCGCCACTCCGTTTTGAGGGGCGGGAGCGCTCCCTGCGAGCGCGTTAACTTCTTGCGCATGACTGAAACGGCGCTTAAGCTGCGATCTTGTTGCTGCTAGGCGGAGCGATCGTGGGATAGGAATTTCGGAAAATTAGAAGAGGCAGGTCCCCTGCCGTCGCCCAAGCAAAAAGAAGCCATCCTTCTTAACCCAGCAGATTGTCATTGAAATAAAGCAGTGTTTTATTTCAGGTCAAGCTTTCCTAATCATAGACCTGATTTCATCACAAGTATCAAACTTTGGACATAGGAAAAGTGTGCCCTTAAGTATGGTCATATTATCCTCCTGGCTTGGAAGGGTTTTCAAGACATGATTCTTCCGTACAAGAGTTGGAACAAGTCCCATCTCTTGAAGGAGAGATGTTTAGCCAGAAAGGACAAGTAAGAAGCAATGGAGTCTTTATCTTCAAGTATTTAAAGAGCTTTCCTGTACAGAAAGGACAGATTTGCTTCCTAGGAGTCCATATTACAAGGGAGGGGTTTATCAGAGAGCTGGGTTAGTCACAAAACCTTAGGGCTTTTAATAAAATTTGTTAGTCTGAAAAGGTGCTACTAGGCTCAAAAGAAGTACGGAAACCCTAACTGATATAATCTGTTTGAGAATGGAGCAGACTGTTTTGTTTCACACTGTGGGTTAGGCTACATAAAATGGTTTGTGGTTCAATGTGCTGTAGACACCCAGCAGGTTGTGTGAACCAAGCTATTAGGTTAAGCCATAAGGCGCTCTATTTGTCTGGGCCCAATATGCTATGTGAATGTACCAACTGGAATTGTGGTTTGTCAGCCAGGTACATTGTATAAGCCCAGCCACAGTCTTGTAAGGTGGTGATTCATCCAGCAGAATCTCTTAAAGAAGAGGCTGGGTGCCAGGACAGAATGTTTTCTGCAGGAGGGGCTAATTACACATGACCTTTGAGATGGTTTCCAACTCTCTTGACTCCTCTGCGCTTGTGTGGTTCCTGGCTTTCTTCTTTTTCTCCCATAATCCCCCTGGACAGCTCCATCTGACTGGAGCAACTGCCTCCTTTCTCTGGTTTAGCTGGTTCCCGAGAGATATTTGAGGCTAAAGCAGTTGTGCGGGCATCTGTCCAATGTGGAGTTGGCCTCTGTCTGTTTTACTTCAGGTTAGGGATTCCCTTTTCCATCCGAACAGGTGCTTTAGACAAGCTCCTTTCTCTCAACTTCTCAGGCTGCACATTGGCTGTGTTTGCAGAACACCAAGTCAATTAAAGACCTAGCGGCTGCTCTATTTGCCCAGGACGCTTGAACTGTTTTGTGTTCACTTTGACTATTTTATTATGTTGTCCCAAAGTAACCAGTTTATGGTTTTGAGTGAACCTGGAGAATGGATTAACTTGTAACTGAGTTCAGTAGGTTATACAGAGACAGTCAATAAGAAAATTACACCTGGATTATCTTTCGGTGCTCTTCCAAGAATGTGGCTTGTGCTACTAGTTCATCCATGTAAAGTGGTTTTAGAATGAGAGAAGACCACCAGAAAGCTTTCCACTCAGAAATAAGCATAATCAGTCCCCATGCATCTGAGATTGATTATGTGGCATCACATAATGTTTGTTTTCAACTCCTAGTGCCCACATAGATAGATTTTCTCCATGACAAACTATCCCTAACCTGGTTTTTAGGTATTCCAACATTGCACCCATTGCCACTGTAACTGAGTCCATCCACCTTGCTACTGCTCATCCTCTTCTTCTCTTTCCTTCCACCTTTCCTCTGGAAAAGAGCCTTTTCTAGAGAGCTAGGTCTTTGCATAATGTGTCCAAAGTAGGATTATTTGAGTCTGGTCATGTATAACTTGAGTGAGAACTTTGGGTTGACTTGTTTGATGATCCATTGGTTTGTTTTTTTGGCTGTCCATGGTATTCTCTGGAGTCTTCTCCAACACCAAAGTTCAAAAGCATAAATACTCTTTCTATCCTGCTTCTTCAAAGTCCAACCAGATGGCTTGAAACCAGGATGGGTAGCTTTTGGTAGCTGGTAATCACCTTTAACATGCTTTCGAAGGTGAAGACTACAGTAGGTTGAGTGGTAATGTAAAGTGGGGAGGGGAAGAATTTTCTCTCCCTCCCCCTCTTCCCTGGTGACATGAGGGGCAGTTGGAGATTGTCTTCATTTTTTCTTAAAGTAAAATAAGTATATATTAGATTTTAGATACCATTTTCCATGTGTGTTGTGAATTGCTCTACAGTTTCTGGAGAACAGTGGGAAGGTGCTTCTGGAGCCAAAAACATCATTCAGTCTTGTATCTTAAGCTGTTTACCTCTGCTTTAAAAGCTATCTGAAAGGAGCAAGGGACTCACAGGATTATGTCTTTTACATACCTCTTTTCAAAAATGGAAAAATATTTTCTGCAAGAATGCTTTGTCCACATCTATCAGCCTGAGGGTAACTTATCACATGCTGGACTGTGTTTGTACAACACACTCAACCCGGTTTCTGAAGTAGCCCATTTTCTGGGTTTGGAATATAATTGAACCATAAACTATCCCAAATATCTGCATTTGCATAACATGCTAAGCTACAAAAACACTTAGCAAGATTTGTACATTGTATAAATGCAGCCATCAGGTCTTCAAATGACCTGGTTAAGTATGCTATACAAACACAACAAGGATGTCTCTTTGCAACAGATCTGCCTTGCAAATAATTCTCTTAGCAAAATGCTGAGAGAAATTGGAGGCCATAATTATGATAGGAAAAAGGCACTCTACGTATGCTCCAAGTAATTTTCCTCCATTTTTCTTTCTGATGTACCCCAGGACAGAACATAATAGATACACTGTTGAGATACTGATCTGATCTAGTGTTGCAGCCTGGTGTCTCCTAACCTCTATAAAGACAAGTGAGATCCTATGAGCTTATTTTTCAAAGCCTGGGCTGTGGATGGCAGATGTGGTAATTGGCAAGAGCTTTGGACTTGAAACTTTAACGACCACTTATTTAGCCCCTAAATAGAAGGATGAATGCTTGTTTGGGACATGGTGTCCTGCATCCATCATCTACCAAGGACATTTCTCAAACTGGAGAAGAGATGGAGCTAGGGGCAGCCAGTCCCTTTGACGACACAGCACCCTTTGTCCTTCCCTTTAGGATTTCCTAATTCTCCTTCTGGCAGTGTTCATATACCCCACCCCACCCCCGCAAGCTTAACATATTCCTCCAATATTCCCAAGTAGCTGGAAATATTAGGAGTCTAAGTGGCAGGTGGCTCTTTTTGAAATCTTTATGAAGCCAAATGCAGCAGAAACTAGGTAGGACAGACAGACAGACAGACCTAACATGCCATTTCTTTTCAGGCTAAGCAACGTTGTGCAGAAAAGGAGCAAGAAATAATAAGGAAAAGAAATTAAAGGTATGAGATAAGAAAAGAAAACAGAGCTAAAAGAAGTTTCACCAAACATCCCATGCATAGGAGAGAACATTATCAGCCTTATTTGTACCTGTGCTGTATGTGCCATTCCTTACCGTTAGTAAGCAGGTTCAAGCACCAGCCCATGAGAATATAACAAGTTCCCTGCTGCTGAATCAATCCACAGGGCTTATCTAAAAAGTTCATCAGCAAGGCAGGAAAACAACAATCCCTTGGCTCTACGGCATTTGACTGTCCATGGCTATATTCTCTGGCAGCGTTCATATCCATCTTTAATCAGATCAATTGAGTACCTAGCAGCTGAGTTAATTCATTCACCAGGTTCAGCACGTTCTCTGGGGAGGTAGGTTCTAAGTGGCTGTCTTGTTAGCAGCTGTGATTTGATTCCGTTCTTTCCCTGAATAAATGTTTTTAAGGGCCTTATCAACTAGTGGCCTTCATCCCATTTTGTGGTGGCTGAATTCCGAACATTAGTCATGCATTAGATTATCTTTGCTAATTTCTGCTCAGTGAAGCTGATGTGTTGGACAAGGAGGAAAAAGCTGCCATGGCCCAGTTTCAAGGGATTATGACTCCCCCCTCCCCTTAACCGTTTTCTCTAAAGTATTTAGAAATGAGTTATGGGAACAGTCAATGTACATTTAGGGAATGGTCAGCAAAGTAATTTTAGGGATTTCCTAGACTTCTCTGTTTCTTTGGCCAAATACAGGCTGGCCCCTTCCTATAAACTCCTGCAGAAGTCACCTTATGAAGTGCTGTTTGTTTTGCTGAGAATAGGACTGCAAAAAATCCAAATGACCACTGAGGAGCCTTGAAGGAATCTCTTTGCTGATATCCAGCAGCTTTCTGGAATTTTGCAGCCTTTTTTTGCTGATGTGCCAAGCTAGTCATTACTAACTCACAAAAGCAATACCAGTATTGTCTGAAGTGTTAATAAAAGTAAGGGAAGCCAGGAGTGCCCAACACCACTTACAAAAACGTTGACAAAAAAACTGCAGGGACT